CAGGGAAACGTCAAAAATCCCATGGCAAGAAGGGGTAGGGTTTGGGGAAAACCAACTAAGAGATTAGTATCAGGGAATGGTTGAAGAATTTTTACTCTGAAGTCATATTCTTTGGGTCTGACCCAAGTGCTTGACCTTAGCCAAGTTATTTAGCTTCACTCTTCCTGTGTATTTAGCTTTAAAATATGTGTAATAATATAAGGATGTTGTGAGGGTTACATGGACAAATACAGTTGTAGGTTAGTGCTCACTGTTTCAGTATTCCAGAACTTTCAGGTGCTGTTTATTATCTGACTGTGACTGTTGGCTCTTGGGAGGTATGTATATCAAATTGGAGCCATTCTATTTAGAACTCTTATCTCAGAGCAATAAGCCTAAGTTTTTATGAACCAATTTAAATTATAAATGTGCAACCAGTTCTAATTTTTTCCGAGCCTTAGTTTCCTTGCTTAAAAAAACATAAATTAGGGGGTTATTTAACTTGCTTGAAAATCCTGTAAAGGAAATTAAATGGACCGAGTCAGGAAACATTCTGTTAGGCACTAACTTCTCCCTAATTTGGGAGATAGTATCACCCTCTTAAGATCAAATATATCATGTAGGTAAAGCAATGAGCATAATTACTGTCACAAAAGAGAAATTACTAGTTCTCGAGGGCCTGCATTATGGTACAACACGTTAAGCTGCCACTTGCAACCACAGAACCCTAAATCCGAGAGCCAGTTTCAGATCCAAATGCTCTGCTTCTAATCTTGCTTCCTGGTAATGCACCTGGGAAGGCAGTGGACGATGATTCAAGCACTTGGGCCACAGCCACTCACATAGGATACCAGGATGGAGTGTCTGGCTCCTAATTCCACTTGGTCCAGATAGGGATTTCATGGCCATTTGGAGAATGAAACACCCCAACTTTCAATCAATCAACAAAGCATTCTTTTTTAAAAAAATGTCTTAAGTCTTAGTGGTTCAGATGCCTTCAGCAGCTCAGCCAACATGTAATTAAGTATGTTTATGGCTTGAACTTTGCAGGTCTTTGTGTTTGTAGCCATTGCAGTTACTTTGCAGGCGGGAACCACAGTGAAATCATTTTTCATTTCCTTGTGATGTAAAGGTAGCCTTGCAAAAGGCCAAACAGGCCAATAGGTACTCAGATGAGGTGCAGGAAGGGGGCAGTGGCTTAATTTGCTGTCATACAACGCTGGCTCCTTGCTGTGTTTTTCAAGGTAAAATGTGTTTTACTGCAGTCTAATATTTTTATTACTAAGCCAGACTAGATTGATCCTTGTATTCTAATTAATTCTATAGCCTTTATTTTCATAATACTTGAAGATGGAAAAAAAATTCACTGATGGCCATGATTTAAATAGCATATATGTTCCAGTTTTTTGAAAGGCAGAGAAAGAGAAAGAAAGGCAGAGGAAGAAAGAAAATGAGAGTCTTCAATCCACTGGTACGTCTTCCAAATGTTCACAAATAGCAAGGTCTGGGCCACAGGCCAGGCACTCCATCTGTCCTTCCCATTAGGGTTGCAGGAACGCAAGTATTCAGGCCATTATCTGTTACCTCCCAAGCATATTGGCAGGAAGCTGAATCAGAAGCGTAGTAGCTGGAACTTGAATTGGAACTCTGATATGGCACTGTGTCAAGCTCTGGCCTCACCCACTCACCAGGCCTGCTCCTAAAATGGAGTATGTTCATTTTGATGACTCTCAACCACTTATTCCTGATCATATTTTAGCAAAGGTCATAGTTGTTTTTCTGTGAAATTCAAGATATTTTCTAAACACTTTAAAATCAGTTACTGTAACTTCTTTTTTTAATAAGATTTATTTTTAGGGCCTGGCACTGTAGCCTAGTGGCTAAAGTCCTCACCTTGCATGGGTCAGGATCCCGTATGGGTGCCAGTTTGTATCCCAGCTGTTCTACTTCTCATCCAGTTCCCTGCTTGTGGCCTGGGAAAGCATTCAAGGATGGGCCAAAGCCTTGGAACCCTGCACAAACATGGGAGACCCGAAGAAGCTCCTGGCTCCTGACTTTGGATCGACTCAGCTCTGTTGCGGTCACTTGGGGAGTGAACCGTGGATGGAAGCTCTTTCTCTCTGTCTAAAAGTTGGGCAATGACTTGAAGATGAGGGAAAAACAAAATAGAAACCAGTTCAGCTGGGAAAAGGTTCCTGCCAGCTGTCTTTTTTTTTTTTTTTTTTGATTTATTTTACTGAGTGAATGAGAATGAAAAGAGAGAATACTTTCATCAAGTGTTTCCTTCCCCAAATGCCCAAAAATGCTGGTGCTGCACTGGGACTACAACCAGGAGCCAGGAACACAATCTGCATGTCCCACATTGATGTCAGAAGCCTGACTGCTTGAATCATCACGACTTCCCAGAGGCTGTCCAGGCAGAGCTGCAGTCAGGAACTGGGGGTACCCAACAAACTCAGGTGCTTCTGTGTGATATGTGGACACTTATTTAGAGATATACTTGTTTTTATTTGAAAGCATTACAGAGAGAGGAAGAGAGACAGAAAAATCTTTCATTCACTGATTCAGTCCCCAAATGGTCCTGACTGCCAAAACTGGACTGGTCTGGAGCCAGGAGCCAAGAGCTTCTTAAGGCCTCTCATTTGCATGCAGGGCAGGACTTGAGCCATCCTCTATTGCTTCCTCAGGCACATTAGCAAGAAGTTGGATCTGAAGTGGAGCAGTTGGGACTCAAACTAGCACTCACATGGGATGCTGGCACCATGGATGGAGTGCTGCCCAATACATGAGCATCTTAAACCAGTGTTCCCCACCAAGTTTTTGAGGTACCTTCATGTGTGCCTAACAGGTAGTGCTTAGTAAATGTGTGTCCCATGAATGAAGCAGTAATTTGTAATAATGAAAGAGAAATGCACTTTTTAAAAACGCTTTTTAAAAATTTGTAGTCTCACAAATGTTCAGACATCATTGTTAATCCATGAGTGGTTAAAACTTACTTAAAGAGAATTATCTGTGTTCCAGATCATCCCATAGTCTTGACTTCTGTACCCAACATTTTTCTGATCTTTGTATCTCTTGCAAATTAGGCAGAGAGAGAGGAGTTTAATGACAGATCTGCTGCCTATTCACTCAGTAAGCCTTTTACAATAGCTGTTATCTGGCTCCAGCTGTTGTGCTAAATTTAGGATTTTGGATTATCTGAAACTCTTCTTTCTTGTCTCCTAGTACAAGGGTAAATTGAGCAAAGACTGTAGAACAAGTAAAACTTCAGCTAATTAAAAAAAAAACCCTACAAAATACAGCATCCAACCTTTATGGTCACCATTTGTCAGAATTTTCAAGATGCTAGAACGTTTTGTGAGAATGAAATATACTCTGCTGCATGTTCTGACCTGTTCTTAAGCATTAATAACTGCCACAACACAAGTTATTTTGCTGTGCATATAAAAATCTAGTGATTTTTTTCGTAATAGAAATTTCATGTATTTGAACTGAAGCAAAAAAAATTCAATTGCTAACCTTGGAGTTGACAAAGTTTTCTGATGTAAGTGAAATCCATACTCAATGTAAAATTGGATAAACAGCAATAGTAAAAAAAAAAAAAAAAAAAAGGGAGGGGTGAATCACTTTTAGACTTATCCTAGCACTTTCCTGTTCACTTGCCTGCAAAATGATCTCTAAAATGTGTGTGTGTTTTCTAATGAAGTCAGAGTTTTGCAAATTTTGTACTTCTTGGCTCTGGGCTCCATAACCACGAGTGTGTTTTGTCTATAAACTGAGTAGTTAATGGCTGTAGCCCTTGTTAGGACTGCTTTTTTAAACTACAGCAGATCTTTGTCATCTGTTTGTGTTGAAGTGATGACACAACATCACAACATGAAATGTCATCGAGTCACATTGTTCTAGCACAACAACACAATTACAACTGCTAACAATAACATGGTGTCAAAAGTGTCCTCTTGCCCATGAGTCAGGGTGTTAGAAGTTATAAAAGTTATTTTTAGCACAGCCTGTGCTTCCAAAGAGTGGGTTCTAAATGTTACTAAATCCCCTAGGGATCTGGGAACATCTGGGTGAGAGGAGGGGGTTGCTGTTTTGAAACTACCCCTTCCCGCGTAGGGCCACATGAAATTCCTATCCCGCCTTGTGCCGCAGTCTCCTGGGGCTGGATCACAGCCCCGGGTCAGCATCCAGTGTGTTGGAGGAGGGAACTATAATTATCTTCCACGTCTGGGGCAGGCCCTGGGATGACATCTCCCCAGTGACCCTGTGCGCTAATAGTGCAGCTCGGGTTCCTGGACTCAGGACAGCCAGCTCCCGTAGGAGCTGTAGGAGGCGAGCGCGCTTTAGCCACCCACCCTCTGTGGGCTTGCCCGGGCCCTCCCAGCGCTTTCGCGCCCATCAGGGACCTACACAGAGGTTTGGCTCCCCCATCCTAAAACAACGAGTAGCGCGTCTCGGGTCGCACAGCCGCGTTGCTATAACAACAGGGCATCCGCACCCTGGAGGCCGCCGGGGAGGAAGTGACGAGCGGTGGGTTGGCTGTTGTTGGGACACGTGACCCGGGCAGTGTTTTGACAGGGCAAACAGCAGAGAAAGAACTAGGCGAGCGAGAGGGACCGGGAGCCGGGGCGCCCAGGCTAGAGACAGCGGGCGGGCGAGAAGCTGGCAGAGTCGCGGGGCAGGCGGGCCGGCCGAGGAGACGGGCGGGCTAAGCCCGGGGGCCACAGGGCTCGGTGCGAGTCGGGCAGGGAGTGGAGCGAGGCGGGGGGTTGGGGGTGGATGGCCTCAGGGAGCCACGTCGGGCTGGTCGTCGTGCGCCCCCATGGTCCCCTAGTGCAGTCCCGGGGCCCGCGGCGCGCCACCCTCAGCCCGCGTCAGCCCTGCGCCGGTCGGGAGCCTCGGGTCTGAGGCGCGAGTGTGATGTGAGCCGCTGGGCGAGCGGTGGAGGCCAGTGCCAAGAGGAGGAGGGATAGGACGCGGGGAGGAGAGCAAGTTAGTCAGCAGAGGTCGGCCGAGAGAGCCGAGGAGTGGGCCAGTCCGAGAGCGCCATGAAAACAACTCTCCAGAGGGGAGAGGGGCAGGCGCAGCGCTCGGTGCGGCGCGGCTGAAGGAAATCCGGGGGCTGCGGCGGGACGGAAGGGGGGCCGCGGCGGGTCGTCTGCGCCGCCGAGCAGGGGCCGGCCGTCCCGTTGGCAAAGGCGACCTCGGGTCGGGCCGCGGAGCGCTGGGAGTTAGCAGGGGGCGACCCGGGACAGCCTGGGAAGAGTTCTTTTGGAGCTGGGGGCTGGGCGTGAGGAGATGACTCGGGTTTCTTCCTGACCCTCCGGTTGTGTAAACTTGGCCGCGGTTGCCACAGGAAGGCTAGCCAGGGGGTAATTACACAGGTGAGGCCCGGAGGCCAGGCGGGCGGGGGTGCAGGGGTGGGGGCTGGAAGTTTGCTAAGCACAGGCACCAGGTGGAAGAATTTTCCCTACCAGCCATTGCAGAGGTGCAGCTGTTCCCACAGGCGTTTTCCCACCAAGTGGTTAGTTAGCTCGTGTTGCTTGAATCTTTTGCTGCTTCTTGCCTGTACCTCCCTGCAGGTTATAAATAGATCCTGCTTTGGTTCCGAGACGCTGTGTCAGAGAAGGACACATTGGCCGGCCGAGCCCTGGGGGCGGGGAAGAGGGGTGCTCGGGCCTGGAGGACATGGGGGAGGCGGTACCCAGGGAGCTGAGCTTTTTTTCAGACCTGGCCTGGTGCTGTCACCCGCAGTTCGTGCCAGGAAGAGGCCTAACGTAACAGTAGTTTGTTGTTGTTGTTGTTTTTACAAGATCCTGGTGGTAGAGCAGGACCAGATTAACTTTGTTTTTCATTTTTTTTCCAGCATTTTGAAAACGAAGCAGAAGCCATTGAGCGGTGAGCCTGTTGAAAGAACTCACTCGTGTGTGTTTCACACCTCTGTAGGTGGAAACTGGATGTGAAAATGAAGCCAGACCGAGGTAAACGATTGCTTGAAGTACGAATGTTTTGTAAAACCAACCCTCTGTACTCCATTTTAGAAGTGTTAATCCAGTTGTACTGCAATTTCTGCCTGCTATGTGATTATGTGTTTTGTTCCAGCTGGTGAGGTAAGAAAAGACATATGGGAAGAGAGGTTTAGGGTGTAAGTGGGGAAAAAAAAGTGCTGATAAGAGAGAAATCCAGTGTATTTCAAAATGAAATCTTTAAGAACAGTGTTTGCATCTGTTGCCACAATACTTGGTCTGTTTAGGTAAAATCAGAGTTCAACTTCAAAGGCATGGCTAAGTTCTTGAAACTTGAGAGTTTGAGATTGGCAAGTTGAAAATTTCAGATTGAGTTGACAGTTATTTTATTACATTACTGCTCTCTTTAGTTGTTTTTTTTTTTTTGCTGTAAGCCAAGTGCTCTAGTTTGCATAATACCCCAGCACCCCATAAATCAATATATGGGCAGTGAGGGCTACTGAGCCACCTGATGGGAAGTAAATGTGGCTTCTGGTTCTGCACCTGTACTTCCAGCCTTTCCAAAAACCTCAGAGAAATTGTTCCACTTCTCGACTATGTTGGAAAATTTTCATTTAGCTAGGAGTACTGAAGACTGAAAGTCAGATATGAGTGATTACAGAGAACATTGAAGGGGGGATTATTGTAATCTGTGGGGGGCTATACGGCTAGATGGCAAAGTGCCTTCTAAGTGTTGAGACCCTATACTTGGAAATGCTATTTTCCCTATGAATTAGAGGTTTGTTTTTTAAAAATATGTATTAAACTTGTCCGTATTTCTACCATATTAGAACTACATATTTGGAATTCAAGTGTGCCTTTGGTCATAGTATCTATTAAAATGTGAGAGAGAAATAGAAAAGGCTATACTTACTGTTTTAAACGTTTGCCTGTTATCTAACATCAGGCAGGTAACAGCCATATATGTATTAGGTATTAAGTTTATTGCTGTTGAGCAGGTTGCTGTGTACAACACTAAGTTTAGATTTTTAGATTACATTAGTGACTTTGGAAAAATAGCAACAAGGTCAGTAATTGCATCTTAAAATAAACAAGCAAATAAAAATCAAAGTCACTTTTGTTTTAGATTGTTTTTTAAAGTCGCAGTAATTTAAAAAATATTCTTTGTACACTATGTCTTTAAGCCAAAATTAATACTAAACACAACAAAATGTTAAGTGATACACTGATAAGGAAAAGCTATATATTTATAAGGAAAATAATTTATTAATCAAAATTTCCAAAACAGGTTTTTTTCTTTAAAAATTATAGCATTCTTGAGTGAAACCTTGGGATTGCAAGTTTAGTGGTATGATTGTATTCCATAAAAACATGCTGCTCACTGCTTTTTTGTTTAAACCCTTTTCCAGATTAATTTTTTCACTTAGCAAACTAGTACAGAAATACTAAAACAAGGTTTTCACAAATACCCTTAGCGTTACTCTGTGTGATGTCGTCTTGTATTTTCTGATCTTGTTTCACTTTTTAAAAAACTGCTGTGATAATCCAGTGAATTGATTTCTTAATGGGTTATGCTTACCTGCAGTTTGAAAGCAGTTATGGACAAAACTTACCTAGCAGGCAGGATACTTTTTCTTCCACAGTAATGTTTAAGAAGCCATTCTAAACTTGGTGAATTTTCTGGAGAATTGATATGACTTTAAATACCAAAATATTTTTAATCGTGTCTGGAGAGTTTTCAAGATTGTTAATGCTTCTGCTTTTTAAGAAAAGAAAATGAGCAGTCAAGCTCTCTGTTCATGATAAAGGGAAGGCTTGTGAGTTTCAATTTTGTACTCTCTCACAACCTAAAAATATCCTACAAAACATATTTAAGTTTGTGAGGTGTTTTTTTTTTCCTCTAGTTTAAAAGACTCCAGGGCTATTGTGTGTGTGTATGTGACATATTTGATTTTTTGTTCATTGTTCTTTGCTGTCAGCAGTCTCTATTGTTGATAAGTGTATTCTTGCCTTACTTTGATTTTACTGTTTTTAGTCTTGTTTGGAGAACTGGAAAACTTTGAGTTTTTTTATATACAATGAGAGTCCCTAAGAAAACCTCTCAGATATTCAGAATCCAAGTGTGGATTATATAGAGACTCAGTATTTCCTTAATGGTATTCAGCTATGCCTCACAGTGTTCAAGTTTCTGGATAAGCTCTTAGAGGCCTTTTGTCTTACATAATTGTTTGTGGTAGTTGATTGGCTAATAGAAAAAAGTTAAGTTGAGAAGCAGGAAAATATTTTAATTTTTCTACCTATCTTTTGAAACAGAACCATAGGTTGTTCTGTGGGCAAGATATGTTTTTGGAGTTGTTTGTAATCTTTCTTGTGTAAACCATATAGCATTAATGTATATTTGAAATTTTTAGTTTTGGTTTCTTTCAAAATTTCAGAGTAATCTGAGGGTAGAATCCTACGTTTTTAATAAACTGAAAAGTCACAAATTACTCTTAATTTGATAGATATCTGTGTACGTAGTTCAGGAATTTCTTTGGAAAAAGAGACAATTTATGTTCTTGAGAACTATGTTTACATGCAAAATACTCAATTTTTCACAGAAATAATTTTTTTTTTTTTGCACTGCAGTTTATAAAAAATACCCTATTAGCCATTGATTTTCAATGTTAGCAGTATTGGTGTCATTTTGGGGGGAGGATATATGTTGGTCATTCCTGCTAGTTGGTTAAGAAAGTATATTCTTTCTTAATTATACATTGAATATATATTGTAAAGCACAGTGAATGTTATTTCACAATATTGAACAGTAGTCTAGCATATTTTAGATAAAGAATGTTCTAAGCAGAGTTCCAGTAGTTATGTAACATTTGCTGTGTTGTGTTGGCAAAGATGAGTTTTAGATGTTATCAACATGGGCTTTGGAATCAGACCTGTGTTTATGTGTGTGTTCCCTTACTTGTTATGTAATCTTCATCACATTACTTAATCTCTAGGAGTCTCAGTTTACTTGTCTGTAAAATGGGGGGAAACGTCAGTTTGTCACAATTAGAAATAATGGCAGTGGTACCTAGTGCATATGAAATAAGTCTTTGGTTAAGTAAAGCTTTAGAGATGCTTATACATTGATCAGTTGCAAAATATACTGAGCAGAGGTAAGGAAACAGTCACTTTGCTTTGTTTTGCCTTCTTAGTGTTCAACTTGCCAAGGCTTAAGCAGATTTAAGAGGCTTTTAATATCTAATTATCTGAGAAAATAAAAAGCTGCAAAAGGGTATTTGATGCCTGTGTATTACCTCTTCATACTGTCATTTGTAATTGCAGTTACAGCTTGATTTATTTAGATGAGATGAGTGGATGAGGGCTAACTAGGAATTGATTTTAAATGGTATTAACCACTGATGAGAGTTGGGCCATTGGAGAGGTTGAACCGTGCTGTCCTACCTTAGACTCGAGGATGTACAACCTTGGACATAATCCTATGTATAATATGTCCTTTATATATAATTTCGAGTGTGTCAAGAGAAACCAAAGTCATGACTTTGTGTGGATAAAATTAAAACATTTTATACTGTGTTACAAATCTATATCTAACTTCATTTTTAAATGATACCTGAATTTGTCAGGACTTATGAAAGATTAAGACTTAACACATGTTATTTCAATTCATATTTAAACATTGTAGGCCATTTGTGATTGTTAAGTCAAACCTATTTGTGCAAAACCTGGCTCATAAACAAAATTCCAAACAAAATTTGATGTTAGGAGGGCTGACATCTTAGATCCCTCCCCACCTTGATTATATAACAAAATTTGGACTTAGTACTGTAGTGACTTAAAAATGTACCTATAGCATAATACAATCCTGTTAACCTCAAACAGTTCCTTTCCTGAGTAGCTTAAACAGGACAAAAGAATTGATAAAGACTGAGAAAAAGTAGCGAAGGAATTAGGTGCTTTGCTTCCTTGCTAAGAATCGTTCCTTGTCAGCCACAGTAAATGAAACAGTAAGAATGACAGCTGTTTGCTAAAAAGAAATAAAAGATTGTTCATATTGAACAGTATCGTGCTAACCTTTGTGCTGGAGGTGATGGTAGTGATAGGTTAATAACAACTAACTCCAGTGCCTGCTGTGCATTCGACCAGGTTCTGAATGCTTTATCATTCATGTACTCCAAATTACTGAAAGAAGTGTATGCTGTCATCATTTATAGATAAGTGCAACTGAGTAACAGAATTTTAATAACTTTTCCAAGGTTTCATGATTAATAAGAGGACAAGGCCAAATTTCAAGTGAGCTGAAGTAAATGCTCTTGACCCCTTATTGTGAGTAGAAAGTTAGGCTAAAATATGATAAAATATTATGATGAATCTGGTTTAAAAATATTCTTGGTGAAAATTCAAAACAGATTTGGTAAGCACTGTGGTATATTGGTCCATTTGCCTCACCTTCTTCATGGTGGGAATAACAGTATCTTGGCTGATGGTTATTCTGAAGATCGAATAACTTATGTACATACATAATGGACTTCAAGAAGTGACTGGCGACGACATTCATTTGTGAACTGCCTTTGTTATTTTTAGACATTTTATTAAGAAGATGCCTATTACTTTGTGAAAGCTGAATGAAGAGGCCAATTCAGCTGCATGCTTTGTGCTCAGCTGCACTGTGATCTCAAGTTAAAAGCTGACTATTGTTGGCTCATATCATCCATTTATGTTGATGACACATCGGTAACTCAAATAATTGTTGGCTTGGTACAGCCTGTGAGATTCTGATACTACAGGGTTAACATAATAACATCTTGTTTGTTTTTGCTATCATCCTCTAAGAAAATAAGTCAGGGACTTGCCCAATGTCATCTTTTTGAATGATGAGAAAAAAAGATAATTAGAAGTTAGAATTGAGGGTCCAGAGCTGATGACTCAGTGGCTAAATCCCTGCCTTGCACGCGCTGGGATCGCATACGGATGCTGGTTCATGACCCTGCTACTCTGTTCACATCCAGTTCCCTGTT